TAGTTGTTAGTGATTCTGGAAGATTGATTAAAAAGTATTCAATGGAAGCATAATTTTCTGTTTCTTTTTTGTCTAGAACTTCCCCAAATATCTCTTCATATTTATCAATGATCTAGTTTGGTCTAATCAAGTTATTTACTCCTAAAATATATTCATCTTCGTCTTAGTGTTCTGATGGGAAGTTTTCATGGATTATTGATAACTTAGGTAAGTAACTTTCAAAATATTCAGTTAAATCAAGACCTTTTTAAATAAGGTAAACTAATTTATTATCAATAAGATAGTTGAGCCCATGATCATTTTGGTATTTTGTCATTAACTCAAGCAGAATATTTAAACTTTTTAGCTAGTTTTTCTCACATGCTACATCTATTGGTGATTTTCCATTAATTTCATTTTTAAGGATAATCAGTGGAATTTATGACTTTTCCATGATAGAGAGTTACTTTCCAATATATTCCAATATCAAAGGCCTAAGAGCCATCTAATTCAAGATATTACCAATTCCAGGATAAAATTTAAGATAAGTTGTCAGATTATTCAGCTCAGTAAGTAAGCAATCATTACTTTTTAGTTTAGACTCTCTGATTTTTACAATTTCATCTGTTGTAAAAAATGAGGATATAAAGGCTATTTTCTTGTCATTTTCTTCGTGAAAATAGCTCATACCATTATTCTTATCAATCTCTACAAATTTTGCATGTGGTAAGTGATTGAGTTTAATAAGAGGATAATCTACGTTACAGTTTTACTTTGAAATATTGATTTAATTTTGCCTAAAAGGATCGCATTTTTAAAGCCAGGTATTTTCTTGATATTTACCTTGCTCATTTGTGCTCAATTAATAAAATTCAATGTTGTTATCAAATGGACTTCTTTAAAAATTACAATTTCTTCCGTAATACTTTAAAGTTTCTTCAGGAAAAATTGGAGAAGTTATTCTTTTTTGAGTGAATGATCTATTTTTTATCTCATAAATTAAATACTTATGAGTACTAGATTAATATGTAAAAAGATAATCATCTTTGACTATTGGGTGCCACATACTTTCAGCACTTTTATAGCTTAATAATGGTAGTACTTCGAGAGTGTCTAGATCATATCCTTAGATTGTTTGCTAATCTTTGAATCCAAAGATTATATTATTGTTCCAGCATATTGTTAAATATTTAAATACATAATCACCTTAAAATTCCTTAATAGAATTTTATAGAATATCATATTTAAAAAGGGTCTTGTTAGCAACTATGATAATAAGTTGCTAACCTGTCTCTTCATTTTTGAAAAATTTATAAAAATTATCCCTGGTCAATTTTCCTAATTTTCCTTCAAAAGGATTTAATTTTTAAATTTTTGCAG